CCCCTCTCTCTTTCTCCCTCAATATTTCTACGCGACGACATTTCTTACCGCTGCAACGCGGTATTATATACTTCTTTATAATCACAAATTTCGTCTTGGCAAAAATCATCTACGCGCATAGGATGCGATAAAAAAGATATTAGATAGGCGACAAAGGAATTAGAAGAGAGTCTTTCGCCATGGGGGTTCTTTTTCACGGATCGATTTAAAATCCTGTCCTTCGTCTTTTTTTTCGTTATTTTATTTTATGATAAATTTACTTTTACGAGAAAAAAAACATTCAATATTTCGCGGTAGAAACTTATTATTCCGTTATAATTTAAATCGTGATTCCGCACCTTTACACTATCCCCGTATTCTAGATAGAAGCCGGTGGTTTCCAAGAGATTTGCTCACTGGCCTATGTATGATTAGAGGTGACAATGATAGTAAGCTAAAAGAAAGAGGAAGTCAGAGGGAGGGAGAAAGAGAGAGAATTCTAGGAAATGGTGTTATTCCGCGTAGGCCAGATATAGAAGAGTCGATTTTAATCAATTCTTAGAATGATTTTAGGAAAATATGTAATAAAATCGGATATAAATCCGATATTAAAATATGCAATTAAAATCGGATATAAATCCTCGTTGAATGCTTTTTCTAAATGTTTCTCATTTATAATGCTTTTTCTATCTTCCATTAAAATATATTCAAAGATTTTCATATTTAGCCTTGAATCCGTATTATTGTTATTCTAAGATTTTCATATTTCTGTGGTATTCACTGTCCATTCTTATGTTAAGATTCTCTTAAGTAATGTCTTAATTAAGATGCTAATACAGCTCTATGATCGATATTCATAATCAGTTCTTATTTTAAGATCGTCTTAAGTAATGTTTTAAAATGTTAATATAGCCTTCTGATTCATGATATTTTAAAACTGTGTACTTATTAAGACGAGTGGTATGCATTCTTCTAAGAGTGGTATGCATACATAGTCGGTTCTTCTTTCAATATAATTTTAAACATGACTTAAGACGCCAGCCCTTTGATCGATTCGTGACACCTCAAGGTTGAACTTAAGATGTGATCTTGAATATAAGAATAGACTACTGGTCTAAGATTTGACTATGAATATTGCCCTGTGATTGGCTAATAATTCTTAAAATTATAGTTAAAATGATTTTAAGAACTGACTATGAATACTGGCATAAAATTCTTAAGGTATATAATCTGTGTAAAAAATATATTTACATAATCACTTCTGATATTACGCTATTACTTGTTATCAATTTCGGATCTCCGACAAAATTATATCCCGCAGAACATAAACTAATGGCAACAATACAATATTAATTTTCCTCAATTCAACAACATAAATATAACATGTTGTACATAACAGTTTGTTAAGAGTATAAAATTATAACATTTATGTGATGTTACTGTCAATTTATATCCTTTGAGATACAAAAAATACAAAAAATTTGATTTTTTTAATCAATTCTATATATATCTATAAATTATAAACGATGTGATCTCCCTCAGATTTTTAATTCTTATAAGAATTTAAAATTATAATCTTAAATTTTCTAAGCCATATCTCTCTCTCTCTCTCTCTCTCTCTCTCTCTCTCTCTCTCTTACTAAAAATAAAAAATATCTGTTCTAAAATGCAAATACAAATATATCACTTAAAATTATGTACAAATAATATAAACATCGGAGTTATTAACCAGTAATAATTAATTATTATTAATATGCATTAATATCTTAGTGCATTTCATTGCCGTAACTTTTTATAGTAAACGTCTCAAGGTAGTCCAGCAATATGTCGTTCTCTATTTCAAATAATTCAAATAATTGCACGGGAAGTTTCGATAAACTTACGGATCTCTGATAAGTGTAACATGATTCGTCTGTAAGAAGAAGACAATACAGTAGTGACAATACTTCTTAACGTAAATATAATTCTCACGCGTTATAAAAATTCGCGATTAACAATGCTCGAAACGAAGGACAATCTCGCGGGAGAACTGTTTGAAGTTAGCCGTAAAAGCAAAAATCGCGAGAGTCATGTCGGTAGTGCCATCTGATATCGCGAGCGCGAAACTTTTCAAAGCGCTTAGTCAATAACATAAGCATTTCCAATTGTTGATTTTTTTTTTTAATATATAGAAAGAAACAGAACCAAAACGTACATTTGAATATTCAATTTCGAGTTTCTTAAAATTCGACAACCATTTATTTCCATATAGTAGATGCGAAATTAAAATTTTTGTTAAGGATTATAAACATTTATTAACATGCACAAAAAAATTAAATTCATATGTAATAAATAAATTAAAACATTCAAATCCAGCAATTTATTTCCATCAGGAGCATCGTAAAAAAAGTAGATATTGTTGTGTAATTTAGATCCACTTCTTCAGAGGGCAGTAGAATGCGAGGACATTTTACGGTTACAAGAAAAAGGCTCATATCTTCTCTCCGGTTTCTCTCTGCTTGCACTTTCTGCACGCAGGTTTTTTTATGCTCCATCATGCTCTTTCTCTCTCTTCAGCGATCGAGTATACGTCCGTCTCATCTCAGGCGTGAAAAGTGCTCGAGCCACTTGAGATCGGAAGTGCAAGCAAAACAAACGGATGAAAAGAGTTCAAATACGTTATGAAAAGAAAAACAACATCCTGAGCACTAATTGAGAATAGATGACAAGAAAACTCACCGGTATGGATAATTTTGTATCTTTTCTTTTGCGTGGAGTTTAATCCTATGTGTATGGTGCATGTAATCTTGATAAAATGGATTTAAATTTTGCGAATAAGGGACTTACTCCACCGTGCTTACTTACATTTTATTAAAGAAATATATTGCACGAAATCGAAATATTTGCAAGATCATAATTTTTGCAAATTAAAAACCTCATTGCTTTTATAATCTAATAATCTTTGCTACTTTTGTTTATTTGTTTAAATATCTTGATTTATAGTTTCTCTAGTATCTATATCCTTCACTGTTAGGTTAAAAATAATGTTAAGTAACATTTATAAATTCATTGTATTTTCTTATCCAAGAACAGATTTATCATGGACGAGGTTATAGATAATTTTGCATGGACTCGCCAGCTCGAGTGTCCACTGACAGTATACAATGAATCGGTGAAGAAAATGTTTGTTCATTATATATATAAATCTGTTTATTGGATCTCTTAGATTTATCGTTTTGTCTAACTTTTCTTTTCCATCAGATTATGCAAAGGAGTACTGGAACTCCTGTGGGAGGACATTTCCAATTCTGCGTTTCCTATAGCTGAAGCATGTAAAATAAGAAAGAACGTTTTGCTGTACAAACTGAGGCATGGATTAACTGATTCTGCAATTTCATCTGTAAGACATTTGGATCAGTTGAAAGTAAAAAATAATACATTGAAACAACAAATATCCACACTAGAAGAAGAATATGAAGAACAAGATCATACTGTCAGGCAAAAAAGTAAGATGACAAGCATGTATTAATCTCGAGAATATTTTAATGCAATTTAAATAAATTTCAATGAAATTGTTAGTGCAACAGTTAAAGGATATAAAAAGCAAGTGTTCGCTGATCAGCAGGAGAAAGGATTTGCTTAAACTGAAACACAGTGAAACCAGCAAGCAAGTGAAAGATTGCGATGACATGAGACGAGTATGTCAGCATTTAATGCCAAGCACTTCTAAGGACATAGATCAACAGAGATTAAGGGAAAATTTGGATATAATAGTAGACTTGCGTCGTTCAGTCACAGATAAGAAACAAGTCAGTTTTTTTTACAGACTATCATATAAAATAATATTCATGTATAAAATTGAGAATAACATTTTCTAATAACAGATATGGACAAAGATATCAAACTCTCTTAGTAGTATTGATGTGCACACACTATGGACACACTTGTATCAAATGCTGTCGCAAGATTTAAACATATTAATGAAATTGGAAACCAAGAATGACTTTGACAATTTAAATATAGTAGGCGAAAGTATAGATATTGGTATTGCAAGAGCATCTGGTCAATATATATGCATGATATCAAAACGGATATTGTCTAATACTAAAATTAACATGTACCAACAACGTTTAATGGAATTTATAGATCTAATAGAGGTAGTGTGAAAATATTTTAAGATTTATATTAAATTATAAAAAAAAATATAATTAGTGAAGAATGTGAAAGACAATTAATGCACACCTTGTCTTGCAGTCGTTATCTCATGAAGATGTAAGCGCGTGGTTAGTTTTAAAGTTGGAGGTAAAAAAATTAAAAGCCGAACAGGTTTACCTGCAAAATGAAGTTCAGCAATTGAAGAACATTATTCAGGAAAATTCCTTGCTCAATCTCGATATAGCTCGATTAACGGCTGACATAGAGACGATTGACGCACAGATGGTATGTATTAGCATATTTTATACTCTATTCATTTTCATGATACTGACATCGAGCATTGCAGAACAACTATATAAAGGACATTCAGCAATCCATAGCTATTTTAAACTCCACGCCAACGCTCATACTTAAAGGAAAAGAGAAGCTACAATATGAGTTGCAGAGGATAGTAGCCTTACAGGCTGACAATTACGATGCAAATTGTGTGAATAATGCGTTGGATATCGAATTGGATATGTTTTACAATATTTTGGATCTCAATGCTTTACGTAAAGTAATGTTGAAGGGAGATGTGGGACTGTACAGGTTTAACAATCTTATATTAAACACATCTTATGTAAAATTTTTCATTAGTATTGTAGAATTATTATACGAATTTTTTTAATAGACACGCAGTCTGTGGACTCGACAAAGCCTCCATCACGACGGTCAATCCGCAATACTTGAGGATCAAGCCTTACTTCCCGACAATACAAATGTCGATATATTCTCTCATAGAATGCTATAAAAACGTAACTGCCAATATGATTTACACGAAACTACACAATTCGACTTCAACGGAAGAGATTGAGTACACAGATAAGTTAATGTCGCCACAAGAAAAATGTAATTATAATAGTCTGGAAATGCTGAACCTCGCCAAAGTCGCTTGTGATCAGACACACGAAGAGATCAAACACTTTAACGCAGTTCTAAGTGCTTGGTAAGTTAATTCGTGGAAATATTGATATAATTTGATGCAGTAATATTAACTATAAATATGTTTTAGGACGAATCAAAACGTACAAGAGGTAATGGCACTCGACGAAACGACCGTGGACAGCGTGTCTTTTAAGGATTGGTTGCAGCGTTACAATTTATTATTGTACATGATACACACACATAAAAATAGCAAATGATTCATATATCTATACTGTAGTCTTTCGCCTTTCATCTACAATATATTCTATATGATATTATTCATGTGTCCGCAGAATTTTTGCATGTATATATATATTTTTTTTAAATTATTTTTTATACGAATTGTACAAGGGTAATAATTTAGAGTACACGGGCATAGTAAATAGACTTATATTTTTCGCAAAAATACATCACGTAATATACACGTTAACCAATTTTGTGATATGCTTCACGTAATATACACGTTAATAAATTTCGGTTACAGTACAATGTAAAAATTTTTCCGATGTAAGAGCACTTGGAATTTTCACATATCGCTGCCTATCGAGATTGGTGGCACACGCCCGTAATTCGCTTTTGGCATCCCATCTCGGCGAGCCACTTGCAACAAAACAACTTCAAGTTCTCGGCCGAATGAGAGAAAAAAATTTATTAGATCATCCATGTATTTCTTCTTTGTACTATACGTGCGCATTTATAATAGCATTTTTCATCGCTCCAGCGATTGTATATTGAACGATATCTAACAAAAAAATCAGCCGTCAACAGCTCCATGCTAAAATATTTTCAACGAAATTCTGAAATTTTATGTAGTTGTAGATAATCTCTTGCAAATGCTCACGTATGGTACACGCATCAATTGCAGATCACATACATAACAGATCACGGTCGAAGAGCTTGTTATCAATGCAACTCGAGTTAAATTTTTTTTAGAATCATTTTTCTTCTATCATTGATGGAAAATGGCACCAATAAACATGTTAAAGTATTTTGTCGTTTACGAGAGATAGAAAAATGGATTAAGAACATTCTCCATTTAGGAACAAGTTCTTACGGTTGTTGCAATTTACCTTACTTGAATTTACATCACAAGACTCAAGAACATTCAAACGAGAAGGGCAGTAATTACAATTGGGAACAGGGTCCCAAGAAGTCGAAAATTCAAGATACTCTCTTGACTTTTCTTTTTCCTTATGTACGTAAGCCGCCTATAAGTCATGCACTCTAATGTGTGATTTTATACAGTTTCCGCCTCATATGTGTATATATATGCACATGTGATTTATATAAATTAACCCCTGAATCATTTTTTTTTTATTTTTAATTGCCTCGAAGTGTGGCACGACCGTCGCACTCCTCTTTAGTAGTATATAAAACTAGCCTACCTATGTACAAGACGCTATGTATTACATACAAGACGCGCGCGAAACGAGCGAGATAGGTAGCTTAATGATTGTCGCGGTTTTAATCGACTTCAGCTTCGGGAACATAAAAACCTGACATACAATATAATAGTAACTAGTAAACAATAATTAAAAGCAGAGGATTAAATAACAGACCTTATCTACACATTTTTCTTCGTCTGTAATTTTACGTCCGAAAAATAGACGAATTAAAAAAATTTCGCGAAATTACAATTTCTGAATCTTCTTAATATATACTCGAGATAATCTAATTTTGCAAGTATCTACTAATCCTTTAATTAGTTCATTTTTTTTTATTTCCTTTGAATTTTGAACAATCGCAATCTTATCCGATCTTACCGAATAATGACATCGTTTATTTAAATCCATTAATTCGAATTTTTTTCGAAAACAGCCCGGTTATCGAGATTCGCAATATTCAACCCTTTTCAACTGAAGGAGCTAACGATCATGAACGCGAAATCCTCGCACGCTTCCCGCGCACGTTAAATAGTACAACCGAGACAACGAGCATCCGCGACGAGCATCGGCACATCCACAATGGAAAGCGTTGTGACGCCGGGACCGGACGTCGGCGTGGCGGTTGCTGGGCGCGCAAAGGAAAGGGGATGTCGAGAGTCCCTCTCGCGAGTCGACGCATGCACGATCACAGAAGTCGGTTACTGGCATTTCTAACCGATGCTTTTGAGCTTTAAGTATTGAGCAAAAGGCACGCCTATCTTCAAAAGGCACATTGGCGCAATCGTATCCTTTCTACTCCCGCTAAATAAATTAATGTTTGAGAGCGATATTCATAGTCGAATCTTACATTTAAGATCATCTTAAGTACAGTCATAAATTTTCAAAAAGCCATATTAGCATCTTAAGACATTACTAAAATAAGGATGGAATATGAATACCTAAGACTTGAACAGTCAAGTCGATAGTACTTCTACAAATCAATTAGAATAGACTAGATCGCTATTCATAGTCCGTTCTTATTTTAAGATCATCTTAGATAATGTTTTAATGCTAATAGAGTTTTCTAATTATCATTGTATTTAAGATAGTCTCAAATATAATCGATTATAAAATCATTGATTACAATTATAAATCATCTTTTCTTGAGGAATCATAATAAATATTGACAATAACATGTGTGATTTTATGAAATGTTTAATCAAGTTTATGATTTTTATATATTTTGCGCTTCTGAACATTCTTTCGCATTTTTACATAATCAAGAAATCTCAGAGTCCGCGACTCGATCGGCTAAGGTCACCGGTTCTTGTATATTTCAAAGTGCCGAGTCATCGAAATGCAAACGGAAAGATTTCTCAGCTAATTGTGTAACAATATAGCACCAAATTGCTATTGTAATTTATCGTTAT